GAGTCTAGCCTGTCAGTCAGGTCACAGCCTGATGATCCCTCCTGTGGGCATGGCCCTCTCATGAGGATTCTGGGAACTTCCTCTCTCTTGATTCTATCATAAGAAGAGGCGGGCCTCAATCTCTCTCTCTCTCTCTCTCTCTCTCTCTCTCTCTCTGTGTGTGTCTCTCTCTCTTTGCTTCACATTCCTGTTGACAAGCCACATGGAGCTATACTGATGGCAGCCAGAGCCCTGGAGATGCATCCACTGCCATCGGATCCACTACACTTTTCACCCACCAGCCTGTAATCTGCTGTATTCTGCATCACTACACATGCAGTGTTTGAGTCTGAAGATGAATTAATGGGCTAATATCAGATTTATGGGCTAATATTGAATTTATGGATTTGATCTGGGCTGGGATGTTTTATTGATGCATACTTATTTCTTGATATAAAATTCTCTCTTACACATATATGAGTGTCAGTGAAAGTCAACCCGGTCTAACACACCACTGTACTAGAATACAGAAAGTCTTAAACAAGTGCCTCCTCGCTGATAAATAGAATTCTCCCGACTGCAACACAGTTGCTCCCTGAGCAGTTGCACAGTGCTAGGAAACATGGTTGGATTTTTATCTGTGAATGTCTATCCAATTCTGTACATTTCCAGAGAACTGGGGCTGGTTCTTCACCTGTAAGAGGATGGAGCTGAACCAGATCATTCAAGTCCCCGTTAAGTCCAAAAGTTTCATGACTCGGTGATTTTGGCGGCACAAACTACACTCTAGAGCGGCTTTCCACTGGTGCTGAGCAAAGAGAAAGCTGTCCTGCTTTTCAACAAAATGGAAAGCAAACGAGTAAACACAGTGATGCTTTCTCCTTCACCCTCATGTAGCTATTTCTGAAAAAAATCACAAAACTCTCTTCCAAGTTAGGGAAGTTCTAATTTTTGTTCATAATGCCTAGGACATCACAAGGAGCCCTGGTGGTGAGGCGCTGGGCTGGTAACAGAAAGGTCAGTGGTTCAAACCCACTAGGCCACTCCACAGGAGAGAGGTGTGGCAGCCTGGGACATCCTATGGGGCACTTCTACTCTGTCCTTTGGGGTCACTAGAGGACAAGTCAATGAAAACAAAACAACGACCCCAAAACACAATACAAGACAAAGTTCCCGCTCTCATCCAGGTGACTGCAGCTCCATGTTTCGTGTTTCGGAGTAGCTCTGCACTCCATAGGTTTCCAGAATCTGTCATCTCCAAAAGTTATGCTCTCTCGACTGTGCTTGGTTCCATTCCACCCGGAGATACTTCTGAAGAACGGCCTCTCCAAAAGCAACCTTACTGTCACCGAGTCCATGCTGCCTCCCTCCCCGGTGGGTTTCCAAGACTCTAACTGTTTGCGGGAGTAGAAAGCCCAGCCCAGCCTTTCTCCCTTGGCGCTGATGGTGGTTTCGTACTGCCAACCATGCAGTTCTCAGTCCAACGAGTAACCACTATCCCACCAGGACTCCTACTAAACAGAATTATTCCTGTTCTGAAAGCCATATAAAATACCTGTGTAGTTCTA